GTGAGTGAGAGAGATAAATGTATCTGCAGGGCGATGAGAAGATATTTGAGATGCCACTCAAGTCTTCAAATGTGGTGAAATAAGCCTGGGACTCGAAAGATCACAACTAACTCATTCGCGACCGTCAAGTCACCCCAGCCTCCTAGCGACCTTATACACAATAAACCAGCAGAGCAGGGCGGAATACTGGCCTGGCAGCCAGAATTGTAAGTTATTTATTAACTTTCTTCAAAATACGAAACAATGACTCTGCCTACATCTATAGTCTGTATGTCCTAAAACAGAGTTTGTATTTTTATACCATGATTTATGATCGCATTTCCTGATTTTAAAGTTGATATTCAAGGATCATAACATAGCCGCAATACCAGCCCAGTCAGCCTGCCAGCTATATTTCTTTGACCTACTTTGTGGTATAATAACCGTGCTCCAATTTGAGGGAGAGCAAAAACACAACAAACTGATCTGAGTGGTACAACGCTCTTTAAAAATTTTGTAAATTTGTTTAAATTGGAATCACTTTTTTCACAACTGCTTTAAAAGTATCCAATGCCAAAAGTGTTTAGATTGGTGTTGAAATTATTTGAAACTAACCCATTGACATACGGTTTCCTCAAATGTTCGACGCCTGCGTCTTTGGCAATGACTGCTGATAATCTCTCTAATCTTCAAATAATTGTGAAAAGCCTGACAGTAAAGCTCTCTTTACTCTCCTGTCGCCTCTGTGTGTTCTACACCCAAACCACCGAGAGACAAGGGAATGCCGTGAAGCCACTTGTCACGGGCTGAACTGTGTCCTCCCTGAATATGTGCCAACCTGATTGAGCGACGCTTCTCAGTGGTTTGGCAGTTATGTAATGAAGCAATGTGGCCTTTATGCAATGATCTCCCATGATGCGATCTAATGCAATAAGCCAATAAAAGGATTAATGATGAAATGTAACAGTCTTAATCCAGTTATAGTCCTGATCTGATGCGAGGGGAGCTTCCCGCGGGTGTGGCTGGTAACACTTATAATCTTACAAGAGAAAAGAGAACGGTGCAGAAATGAGAGGGATGTATTACCATCAAGAAAAACAAACAGGAGAGGAATGCATCCTTTGGCCTTGGGGTCCCTGTGCTGGGAATCTCCTAGACCCAGGGAAAGATAGATGTCAAAGTCCAAGGAGAACGCGGAGAAACACAGTGCTGACATATGCTGAACGGAGGCAAAACACCTTTCCCCAGAGCCACAGCGAGAGAAAAAGCCTTTTGCTGGAACTTGCCCTGTGAATTTGGACATCTAGCCTCCTAAACTGTGTGAGAGAAAAAAATTCTGCTTGAGAAAGTCCTCCACTCTTGATGTTTCTGTTACAGCAGCGCTTGATATTTAAAGAGACTATTCCTGGAGCCCGGAGGTCAACAGAATACTTCATGTTGAGTTCAAAGAATGCTAAACATTAGACACATTTAAGCAATCTAGTCCAAATGTCCTACCTAGGGCAGCAATAGTTTAACACTTTAGGTGTCTGTCTAAAGAACATATTTGGTTGAAATAGTCTATTTCGAATATCAGACAACAAGATAGAAGGTTCTTGTAATTAAATGGAAACATCACTATCCTTTAATATCCATCGACCATGTAGCATGCAAATGTATCTTTGTACTCAAGACCACGCCCTCCTGGTAGCAATTATCTAAAGATGCTTGAAGAAACTTTATGAATTTTCCTTGAGAATTCTCTGCTTCCTTTTAATGACTTTCCGTCTCTAACATTAACTCAAAGAACGTGGTACTTGGATCTTCTATCGCCTGATAACATTCTCTGAACACATATCTCTTATTTAGAAATATAGAGTTTCACACTAGTCCAGCCCCTTCGAAATATAATTGGCTCTGACCACCCAAGTTCTTGGTATTACACATTACACATCTATTAATGCAGTCTACCATAGTACAGTCATATATAGGTATAGAGATAGAGATAGATGCAGTTCTATTACTATTCATTTTAAAAATCATAGAACATTATCACTAAAGCATTTGGCCAGACTTTTTTAAAGGAACACAGCATGAAGCTATAAAGCAAACAAACATAGGCGATGGTTTCTGAAGTCAGGGCTTTAATGAGGATACGAGAACGGATGGTGGAGCAATGTGTAAGGTGGAGACAGCCTATATTGATGCTTGGATTGCTGTTTTCATAAGAGAAGATGAAAGATTAAGAAACCAACTTATACAGAATACGGAGATTCTACAGAGCTTATGGTAATAGTCCCTTAAGGATTCAGATGGCATTTCGGGACCTTGAAGTGCTTCAGCTTCAGCTCTATGAATATTTAGTACCATTGTGTCACGGTATGTTGCCGGCAGCATTGGCAGGAGCAGTATCCGTGGATTTGATTATGCCAATGATGTGTGCCGCTGCGTGTTAATGGATTGCTGCTGAACAGAATGCCACCAGTCAGGGTTTACTGTGGGATCTTCCAGGTCTTTCATTTCCCTATGCGCATAGAATCATTGCCTAAATTGACATTTCTGGAGAGAACATCTATATGTTAAATCCTTTGTGGGAGAGAAAAAGATGGGAAAGGGAACATTGAACAAGAAAGGAAAAAAAAAGTCGTGCTAGCAATACATCAGAAAAGAATGGCTCCTCTGCTGCAGTGTCCATAATAGGAGTGACCAGCTGTCCTCAAGGCTGGGCTGTAACCAAGCTTCTCACACTTGAATGTACATGACCGTCCCCTGGCAATCTTGTTAAAATGCCGTCTCAATCAAGAGGTGTTAGAGATGTTGTCTCTCTAACCAGCTCTTAGATTATGTGACTACTGTTAATCCATGGGACACAATGTCAGACACACACGCAAGGAGCTAGATCCTGAACTGCTAACCCAAAAGGTTGGCAGTTCAAGCGCATCAATGAATCCACGGGAGAAAGATGAGTCTCCCTCCAGGTGGGCAGTTGTTAGGTACCCTCAAGTCTACCGAACACAAACACTGCTGTCACTTTGTCAATTCATCTCCCTGAGGGAATTCCACCTTGCTTCCACCCCTCTACTGTACCAAGAGCTGTGCCCTTTTCGAGGACCAGTCTCACCATCCTTCTTTCTCAGGACCATTCTGACTGGACTTGCCCCAAGACCTAGCTGTTGGTTCCGGCAGTCTATGCGACTTGCATAGTCTTCCCCAGCACCACCATTCCAAATTACCGGTTCTTCTCCAGGCTCCCGTATTCCTTGTCCACCTTTCACAGGTGACAAAAATACCACGGCTTGAGCCCGGCGCACCTTAGTTCTTAAAGGGACATCTTTGATCTTTAACAGTTCAAAGAAGTCTTGTGCAGGAGACCTGCCCAATGCATTAAGTCATGTGATTTCTTGACTACAGTTTCCACAAAAGTCGATTGATGTTTTAGAATTTACAGTCCCACAAAGGCCATGCAGAGTGTTGGTGTGGGTGGGAATGGATTCAATGGTAGTGGGCTTCTTTTTTATGCTTAATAGTCACTCACCTTATCAAGATGTTCGCTTCCTGCCCTTGCAACCCTTTCTGCCCACCTAGTCGCCACGACTGTGGCCCAGCAGACACGAAAAGCCCCCAAGAACATGTGCTCATCCCTGAAACTATGCACCATTCATCGAGACAGTGTTCTTACTCTAGATGTGTAGCCTACAAAATCCAGACTGGTAAACCAAAGTTTAGGGCTCAAGCCATCTCTCCCAACGAGCTCTTCATAAAAGGACAGCCATGACATTTTCCGTCTTCTTCCTCAATACTCTAATTCAAAGATACCAATTTTGCTCTAGTCTTCCTTATTCCTTGTCCACCTAGAACTCTAGACCGTAAAATTTAAAACAAACAAACACATAAAGAAACTTTCCTATTTCAAAATTTAAGCCATTAACATATGGTCTAGTTCAAAATTTAAGTCAGGGACATTGTCACAAAATAGTTATCGTTCTCACACCCTTTTTGCATTTTGGAGGTCAAATAAAGTTTAATTTTGACATGAACTTGTTGCAAAATCCACCTTATTGTTTCTGAATCACAGCTAACCTACTCCTGCTTCCCGAAGGAAGATGAGTAAATCCTAAAATCCCAAACAATGTGAACTCTCCCAAATTGGCTTTTTATTCTTTTGCATATTTAAATTTATGTGTAATTAGCATTTGTTTGAATGCTGATAACTGCTATTAAGGTAGTTGATCCCTCCAAGTCGATTGTGCATCACAAGGAACATTTTATTTATAATATTAATTTCGCTGGTTTATCTGTTCTGATCAGAAAGATGTAAAACACATTGTGATTCTCAATTGGTTGTACTTGAAATAGGAGGTTTTCATAAAATACACACTAACTGTTCAAATCAAATGAGAAGTGGGTTTAGTTTGAGTTTAGTTTGGTGGTGTCTTGAGTTTTAACGTGTCTTCATTTAAAATATGGACTTGGTCTTAGTTAAAATAATTATCAATGTATGTCATATACACTCAAGTTACAATACACAGAAATTGAGTATTTAAGTTCATTTCTAGGTTCAGCAAGTATAGTTTATTTGGTTTGGGGGTCAATATTTTATATTTATGCAATAATAATCATGAAAAGTCTTGCCTTGCCTTTTAGAATCTTTTTCCAGTTCAGTTGTTTTAGAATTCATAAGATTTTTTTCTGAAATACGAATATTTGCATACAGCTAAAACATGCACACACATACCACACACGCACACGCACGCATAAGCATACTGGTGTCACTGAGCCTGATTCCTGTTCTCAGATACAAGTATGTTATTCTAACAGAGAAAAACTTTCAAGAATCATCACCAGAAGTCAATTAACAAAGTCCCAACATGGAGATCGGAATGTCTTTCTTTGGATTCAATTCTCTTTCTCCACATTCCCAGAAAGAAGGCCACAGACAGGGAAGAAAGGTTTGACTGTACAGGTTCCCAGACTTCCACCAGGGTTTTACTGCCCCCTGGTGGTACCACCTACGAATACCATTGGCATCTTTAGGCACTTACCTCCAGTTAAGCATTTGTTCCTGTCACAGAATTGCAACTCAAAATACTTTATGAAGCAACTGGACACATCATTCGCAGTTGTCTTGGCATGTCCAAAGGCTTCTAAAATACACGTGACCTGCAACAAAAGAAAAACAAAGAGTGTTGAACAACTTCTTGTTAAAAATAACATCAAAGGAACATCAAAGATATAGGGAATGTATCATTATCTAAAAGATTTATACTATTGACATAACATATTAAAGTTTTACAATCAATTTTCCTCAAATTACTAAATGCTACCGTCTCTTCTTTTGGCTCACGAAAATAAAATCGTGATACAGTAATATGCTGCTTCACTTCACTTCATGATGCCCGGCAGTTTATATATGTGAAGACAACCACTGCACCACCAACCAAAGAATCCAACCCAGCCCCTGTGAGAGAGCTTTGAAACGTGAATGGGACCCTGGACGTTCTGATGTCAGATGGAACTTGACGGGAAGCAGAGAATCTCAGAAAGATGTTTATTTGTGTTTCATTGACCATGCAAAGCCATTTGCCTGTGTGGGTCAATAACAAACAGTAGATCGCTTTCTGAAGAATGAGGATTCTAGAACACCTCACTGTGCTCATGTGGAACCTCAACATAGATCAAGAGGCAAATGTGCAAACAGAGCAAATGAATAATGCATGGCCTACCATCAGGAAAGGTCTGCATCGGGGTTGTATCCTGTGCTCATATTTATTAAATCTGTAGGCTGAGCAAATAATTAACCTCAATGAGCTACAATGTGGTGTCAGTATTGGGAGAAGGTTTATTTACAATCTGCCATATGCAGGTGACACCACCTTGCTAGAAGAAAGTGAGGAGGACTTGAACTGCTTGGTGATGGAGGTCAAGGACTACAGGCTTCGATATGGATTACAACTCGATGAAAGAATACACAAATCCTCACAGCTGGACCAATGAACAGCTGAGATCAAATGATGCATTGCTTTGTGTAGATCTGCTGCACAAGGCCTCTTAAAGTGTTGAAAAACAGGGAGATTACTTTGAGGACTAAGGTGGACTTGACAGTAGTCATGGTACTCTCAATTGCCTCCTATGCATGTGAAACTTGAATGCTGAATAAGAGGACTGAAGAAGAATTGATGCGATTAATGTCCAGCACAAATATCAAGTATTCAACGGTTAATAACAATGGTTATTATTTATGATTGTCAAAAATAATAAAATAAAAATAAATTGAATTATGATGCTAGAGAAGAACATGGATCGTAAGGTGAACTGCCAAAGAACAAACACCCTTATCTTGAAAGAGAAGTACAGCCAGGATGCACCTTGGAAGCAAACATGGCGAGGCTCCATCTCACGTACTTTAGACATGCTCTCAGGAGAGACCAGTCCCTGTGAAATCACTTGATAATTGGAGGGGCAGTGGGAAAAGACAAAGGCCTTTGACAAGATGGGTTGACACAGCGGCTGCAACAATGGCCTCAAACTGAAGAACAATTGTGAGGACGGCGCTGGACTGGGCGGTGCTTCCTTCGGTTGGACATTGGGTCGCTATGAGTCAGAACCAGCTCAATGGCCCTGTATTAGTCTAGGTACTTTGGAGAAACAAATCCACAGCAACTCACGTATAAGAGAGAGTTTTATGCAAAGAAAATGTGCATCACGAAAATATCCCAACCCAATGCTGCCCAAGCCCACAAGTCCAACATTAACCCATACCCAACACCAGTCCACAAAGTCCTTCACCTCACAAAACAGAGGCAATAATGCCGACTGCAGGAGGAAAGCTGAGTCCGTGAACGTGTAAGCATCTCAGCACTGGCAAGGGTCTCCACACGGCTGCTCCAGCACCCAGGGCTGCATCGGGATAGGTCCATGTAGCTTCTCCTGGGGATGTCTTGTAGGACGTCAATCTTGCAAGCTGAAGCAGGGAACTGCTAAGGCAGCTGCACCCGATGCAACCATCACAAAACAAGAGACCCGAGAACTAGAAAGGTGAGGCTTCACCACCCATTTATCCCTCCACCTTTCAACCAGCACCACATGTGATTATCGGCCAGGCTGGCACAATTAACTAACTCAGGCCCCTAACAACAAAAGGCTCCTGCTAACTTGAGGGGAGGGATTAGAATTACCACATGCAATTACTTTAAAATGTTAAAACTTTTTTTAACATGATGTCACTATAACATAGATTTGATTCTTAAACATTTCATTGTGCTCCATAGAAACTTGCTGAGATCCGTAACTGCTTCTTCTTCACCCTGTCTGGACCCTGCTTTGTGTCTCGTGCCAGTAGTTGTCTCCCACAAGAACACAAATCCGAGCCGACACTGTCTCATTCGGGTGTTTCCAGCTGCAGCCTACTGTACTCCAGGCAATGGAAATACCACTAATAGAACTCAGATCCACCCTGGAGTCTAAAATCATTTCCTAGCAGGATTTCTTCTCCCTGGCTCCATCCATCTATGCTCCTGTGCAGATGAGGTCTAAGCAATTGTCCACTCAGTATGAAAATAGGGATCAAAGGGCTTTTCCTGTCTTTGAACATGAGCATGTAAGAAGCCCGATGGGCTGCTAATCACCAGGGCAGCCATGGGATGTCAGCCAGCCGATTGCTCAGCAGTATAAAGATGAGGCTTTCTACTCCCTGAAGGAGTACAGCTTCTGAAGCCCACGAAGGCAGTTCTAACTCTGTCCTATGAGGGTCACTGAGTTGGAATCAACTTGATAGCTTTGTGTAGTAGTGGCAGTTATGTAATCTCCTGTCAACTTGGGAAGGGCTAGAGTCTAACCTATCAATCAGGTCACAGCTTGATGACCTCATTTGGAAGCACTATGAAGATAAACAGCTCACTGGAGGCCTGACACATTCTCTCCCTGCGAGACATTACTCTTGATAAGTCACATGGGACTATGCTGATAGAGCCAAAACCCTGGAGCTGGAGGAGACATGTGGAGACCTACACTAGTGCTGAGATGCTTCCACCACCACTTTCCACCCTTTGGCCTGTGACCTTCCTGCATTTGGTGTCATTGCATGTGTTGTGTGAGTCTGAAGAGGAACCTACAGACTGTTATCGTACATATGGGCTAATATCAGACTTCTGAACTTGGTCAGGACTAGGCTGGGATGTTTTCTTAAAATACAATTACTCTTTGATATAAAGTTCTCTCTTAGACGCCTATGAATCTCCCTGGATTTGTTTCTCTAGTCTACCAGGACTAACACAGTAGTGTTAGGTTGATGTAAATTTGATGTAGTTTCTGCTTCAGACACAAGAGGGAGCTTATTAATACCTTTTACATAAACTAGGTTTTTATTTGTTTATAAAAATTTCTGGTGAGGCACGGATGATCCCTTCAGGACCAGTGGTGTGAGTGGCAATACTGGGAGGGTAGAGGGAGAGTGGGTTGGAAAGAGGGAACCGATTATAAGGAATTATATGTGACCTCCTCCCTGGGGGACGGACAACAGAAAAGTGGATGAAGGGAGACGTCGGACATGGCAAGATATGACAAAATAATAATTTATAAATTATCAAGGACTCATGAGGGAGCAGGGAGCGGGGAGGGAGGGGAAAAATGAGGACCTAATGCCGGGGGCTTAAGGGAGAGGAAATGTTTTGAGAATGATGAGGGCAATGAATGTACAAATGTGCTTTACACATTGATGTATGTATGGATTGTGATAAGAGTTGTATGAGCCCCTAATAAAACAATTGGGAAAAAAAAGAAAGAAAGAAACGCTGCCCCCTCCTGTACCATCCACACAAAAAAATTTCTGGTGCGTATATGTATTTTTTAGCATTTTACCCCCAAATAAGAAAAAGAGAATATTTATGCTACTTTAAAAAATTTCTGGGAACTGTTATATAAAAGGTCTACAATTCACATACAAGTATCATAGAATGTGAAAGATTATAAAACAGTTTGATAATAACAACAAAACTAAACTTTTGTGTTTGGAGTTGGAAACTGTGGTAGAATATACATTGCATTGGCATAAAAGTTAATGAGCTAGATTTGTTTGAAATAACCTATTTCTAAAAATAATAAAAATTGAATTGATATCTGGGGTAGCAAAGTTTTCTTTAAAAATAATTTGAAATATTATTTATAAAGCCTTTTTACTACATTTTCCAGTAATTTAATATTAAATAATTAATCATATCTGTATGCCTACTGCCACTGAAGCAATTCCGACTCATATTGAACTTGCTCGGGGTTTCCAAGGCTGTACATTTATACAGTAGATGTTAGCCTCATCGTTCTCCTCGGGAATGTTTGGGGGGAGTTGAACTGTCAATGTTTAGACTAGCAGTCCCATGCTTACTCCACGATGCCATCAGGACTTGGATATATTTTAAAACAGTCTGTTTCAAACAGTTCTGTTGCTGAACCTGATAATACAGGTTTTATTACTATAAGAAAAAAGGACATACAAGATCATGAGTGACATGTAGCCAGCATTGGAAATCGAGGACACTGATTGAAAGTGTGTACTTTGGGCTGAGAAGTAGCTTCTGTCCTCACGCTTTGCTGCTGCTGATTAAGACATCCTGAAAATTTCCCAAACTTTGCTTTCTTTTTTTCTGACAGGAATAACTCCTTTGCGGGTTGTAATTTTCAGGCGAATAAACCACTCAAGTAGTGTCTAGCACAAATATCAAGTATTCAACAATTAATAGCAATGGTTATTCTTCATGATTGTTAAAATAATAGAAAACATCTATATTGTGCTTACTACACGATAGATATCATTCTGAAGTGTGTATATTATGCATGCACATGCATAATTATATATTTCTTCTAATTTTCAAAACTAACGTCTTCATTTGCTGCTATAATAACTATGCAGGTGTATAATGCATAAAACAACATTAAACTAAATGAATCAGCAAACATAGATATACAAAAGGCAGTCAGTCTTTCATTCTGCATTGCAAGTGCACAAATCAAGACTAACTATGAGTTGAATCCTTAGGAAACACAGACGCCTTTTCATGCCCAGTGAATTTCCTGACCAATAGGTGGCACTAAAGAAGCATGTTAAGGGACTCTCGGCTCTTATGTAAGGAGCCCTGGTGGACTAGCGGGCGCCCAGTGGGCTGCTAACC